ATTATAGAATTTTTTATTTAATACTCCCTCCGTTCCTTCAAACCCTTCCACTTTTGACTTTGGCCAAAAATAAGGAAAGTGTAATTTTGGTTGACTTTCCAATTTTGCCCCTGATATGATGGGTAAAAGTAAGATGTGATAGTTTGGTTGTTAGAAAAAAAGTATGATGTGATAGGTAGGGTATGAAAAAGTAAGGGTAAAAGTGGGTTTTTAATAGAAAGTGGAAGTGTTTTAGGGAATTCAAAAAAAACGAAAGTGGAAGGGTTTTGTGGAACGGGGGGAGTATAATTTTTATTTTTAAATTCTACATAAATTTTTACTTATATCAATTTTAAAACGGTTTTAATCAAACATCGACACATCGTAAACGAGGAACATTGTTTTGGAAGCTAAGGGAGAGTATGTCCTAATAAAAAAGTGCAAGAAATTTTTATATAATGTTCTTACATGTATAATTTAGGGCACAAGTGGTGGGGTGGCCACCGGTGAGGAACTACCGGAAGAATGTGATGGCGAACCAAAAGAGTAGCGAGGAGGTGGCGGAGGAGAAGGGCGGCGGTGGCGGAGGGGCGGCGGCCTTTGTGAAGGTGTGCATGGACGGGGCACCGTACCTCCGTAAGGTGGACCTGAAGATGTACGAAAGCTACAAACAGCTCTCTCATTCTCTTGCAAAGATGTTTAGCTCCTTCACCATGCCTCCAGGTAATATAATTCATTTTATTTATTCAACTTTCACTTGTTACTCGTCCTATAAAATATTTTAATTTCGTCTAAATGGACATAATTATTCTTACTTTTCTTAAATCTAATCGAACGTACCCCAACTACCTTCTACGATCTATCCGTTTCGATATTTCTCAAATCCAATTTGTTTCAATTGTCGTTGTTTCGCCTTGGTCAAACTTGATTAAGGACAGAAGAGATTAATGTAAATAATATGATGGTGATGATTCAAATGGTAAATTATCTTAAGAAAAATTTGCACTAAATAAGACTAAAACATAAATCATTTCTCAATGAACCTTTTTATTCTCTAAATAGAACTTAATAAAATCTAATGGGAGGAATAATATGCAGTGATGGGAGGAATAATATTCAGTGATGGTGGATATTTACTTGAATAATGACTAATGGATAATGATTAATAGTCCTAATAAAATTAGGATATAAAAACATATGATTATATAAAAAAATTATTATATTGTAATCATATTTAAATGAATTTCTCTTATATTAATTGTTGTAATGAAATGTGGTGGTGCAGGTAATAATAACAATGATAAGGGGGGGATGATGATAGATTTCATGAATGAAGGGAAGGTGGTGATGGATGATGATGATGTGGTGAAGTATGTGCCCACTTATGAGGATAAGGATGGTGATTGGATGCTCGTTGGGGATGTCCCATGGGAGTAAGTTCCTTCATTTTTTTTCTCTTTTCTTCTTGCGTTTTTTTGCATCAACGTTAGAGGTTAGCGTTAGCATTTTCAAAAAACTATTGCATGATAGCCTCCAGCATTAATGTTAAAATTTTTATCCAAAACGCTAACACTAATCAAAAACATTACTATCAAACAAGACTTTAATATTAGATTCTAATGTTTGTTCGTGTATATAGACACACACATTCAATATATTACTCCCTCCGTTCCACAAAACCCTTACGGTTTTGACTTTGGGAAAAAATAAGGAAAGTGTAATTTTGGTTGACTTTCCGATTTTGCTCCTGATGTGATGGGAAAAAGTAAGATGAGATAGTTTGGTTGTTAGTAAAAAGTATGATGTGATAGGTAAGATATGAAAAAATAGGGGTAAAAGTGGTTTTTTAATAGAAAATAGAAGTGTTTTGTGGAAAATAAAAAAACGAAAGAGGAAGGGTTTTGTGGAACGGGGTGAGTAAAATATAAAAGGTCAAATAAAGCTCGAGATTTGTGACTTTCCATATGAGAGATCCACGGTTACGAAACTCAACGACAAAAAATTGGATTAATCTCTTCATCTTGCTATTTTTGTCCTATTTCGGTTTAGATGTTTAAATTTATTCACTTTAAATCACATTTCTCTAAATATTTTTGTCAAATTAAAAACTGAAAATTACTACGAACGGTGTACAACACTAAATTTGAAAGTTACATTAAAAAAGTTTGCAAAAAAATGTGACATGATTGTTACGTCATTTTAATTAATTATGGATGTAAATGTGTAGAGGATTAAGCATTCATTTCACCAAAAAACAATTCATATTTATTACGGAGTACTATTATCCCTTTCGTTTCAAAAAAAACAAATCGTATTTATTCTAAGGGTCCCGATAACTTTAATTTTGTTTGTGTGATTTTTTTGCATTAGACATTTGATATAATAAAATATTCTTGTTACTGTTTATTTGTGCAACTATTTTTTTCACAAATTATTCACGGAAGAGTATTACTCATATTACAGTAATTAATTAATTAATTTCTGGAATGATTAATTGTGGTATTAAATAACACAGGATGTTTGTGAATTCCTGCAAACGCTTGCGCATAATGAAAGGATCAGAAGCAATTGGGCTTGGTACGTCTCTTTCTTCCATGATAATCATTATTTCTTGATAAGTTTTTCATTGTCTCCACAAAATTAATGTACTACTTTGTATTAAAATTATGGCTTTAATTTAATTTTTTTTCAAAAAAATTATATTTCATTATAATATCAAGTTATACTCGATCCCTCTGTCCTTGAATATCTTTCTCCTTTCTTTTTTCATCCGTCCTAAAAACACTTCTTATTTCTATTAAAAAGTCACGTTTATCCCTTATTTTTCATACTCTACCTATCACATTATATTTTTTTTACTAATAATCTAATTATCAAATTGTACTTTTACCCATCACGTCAAAAGACTTTTTTAGAAATTCAATACCAAAATATACTTTTATTAAATCTTTTAAAAATCAATAACTAACTCCCATGTTTTTAATAAAAAATAATTAGATTCTGCGAAGTAAAAAGAAAAAAATTCAAATGTAATTCTGGCCACATTTTACAAACCGTACAATTTCTGAAGAATTCAGAAGAAAACAGTGCAATTTTATCAAAAGTCAAATAAAAAGAAAAATTTTCAAATGGAAGAAGTTTTATTATTCCCTTTTTATCTTTAGTACTAATAAATATGTCAAAATATAGAGTAAAAATAATTACTCCTAAATTATATTATTCTAACATAAAGTCTTGTTATTGAATGAAATGCAGCACCAAGAGCTATGGAGAAGTGCAAGAGAAGGAGCTAATAATAATAAATAAATAAATAAATAAATAAATAAATAAATATATCGTCACATGGCATGGCCTGCAGATTCATATTTCCTCTCCCAATGCAAGTTGTGCATGCAATTGAAAGTTAATTACTTAAATGTGATAATTGTTTGAGCTTTGATTTCTTTCTGTAATTTTATTTTATTTATTAATTATTCGAATATACTCGATCATATAAATATATATCATATATACTACTAGCTTTTATCGATGCACATCAAGGTCAATACAGACACAAATAGACATTAAATGTATGTGTGTCCATATTGGCCTTAATGTGTATTTTGTGTCAAATGTTTGGGATCCTCTAGCATTTTGGTTTTTGTATTAGACACTTGTTGTAATGGACAAGAAGCATAACAACCTTAATTAATACTCCGTAATTAATTAAGCTCTACTTGAATTGTGTGTCTGCTGGTTTGTTTAGTTTAATTTATTGCAAATTAGTGGCTTGCTAATTAAGTGTTACATCTAATTGACTACTCGTACTATTTTTTAAATTATTTTTGTGTTTTGGTTTGTGCTATTAATAATTAATTATTGGTGTTGTACGAGATTATTGTCTTTGCTGTCACAGTGGTTGTGTGTTTTTTAATTTTATCTATGAAATGAATCTCAAATTTTCTCTCTTCTATTTCTTCCCCACTTCATCTCTCTTTCTCTTCAGATTCTTCGTACGTACCATGCATTGTATTGTGTATACTTTCCAAATTCCAATAATTTATTCTGTACACAATTTAATATTCATATTTATGCATTGTTTTGATATGAAAGTCTTCTTTTGGAGGGAACATGCCATGTGCTTCTTCATGGGTTAGTTTCTTCTTCCATCAATAATCATTTGATGCTCTTTAATTACTCTTTGGCATGTCTTCTCTCCATTTTCATTTCGCAACGGTTCTCATGACATTCTCGACAATATCATGAGATGACTCGGAAGTGCTCCGGTGCCTCATTCGTAAAATCGACGTTTCCTACCTTTCATATCCGAATCTGGTGTCCGGATTCAGAAATGGATCCTTTGGTCTTCCGGAATATCCTTTGTAACATTAGGTGACGATTTGACTATCGCCCAAAATGTGACCGATCACTTTTTGAGGGAAGTGACCGATCAATTTTTGACCCGTCCCAATCGAAGAATTGTCCTCATTTGGTGATTGAAGAAAGTGACCGGTCATGTTTTGACCTGTCCCTTTCGGTTATCCGGATCGGGTATAAGGATATACCCATCACAAACAATTAATTTAGCGGTTTGACTAGTCCAATCCGCCGTTTATGGTCAAAGATACCAAATGCTGGGTGAACCGCCATTTACCAAACATGGCCTTAATGTCAAAATCTTATAGTCCCCTAGCACTCATATTTTCCTACCACTCATGTTATCAAAGGAAAATGAAATCAAAGTTGTTCCCGAAAATATTCTCCACATCCAAACGTGCCAAAAGAATCTGAATTCTCTTTTAGAGCATGAACAATGGCAAGACAAAAATGGAATGCCACACGGTGACATGGAATATTTTAACCAATCAAAAATAATCCAGTCAGCGTGTGGCAAGTGAATGGAGTGGCAAATTCTACAATGGCAAGTCATTATTTTTTATCACTTTTTTACAATTTTTTATGTTTTTTAAACATAAAAAAATATTTTTATTATTTATTTTATTAAAAAGTTATTCTACTTTTTTGTACATTTTTTTCATAAAAAATTTTTAAAAAATTTATTTAAAAAAAATAAAAAAAGAAGGATGGAGTGTCACACTCATGCCTCACAAAGCAAGGCATTTTAGCCTTGTCATGCCATGATATGTGTGGAAGAAGCTGATGTGGCAGTGCATGGCATGCCTCTTCCTTGCCATTGCACATGCTCTTACGACAAGGAGGGGTATAACAAATGCCAATATCAATTAGTAATGTTACAGCATTCAAATTACACAAAAATCAACATAAACTATCCCTGGACAGCCAATTCCTGCAAATGCTCAGTGAACACTTGAAGGCTAATATCGTCAGTAAATACAACATTCAAATCCTCTCCTCCATTCTTTGAAGAACTATTATGATGAGTCACAGAGGGATTGAGCTTGGCAAGAAGAAACCTTGCCTGGCTGCTGTGTTGATCACACCTGATCACCTTCGGGACCGGGACCCGCTCCGCCACCAACTGCTCCGCGTCCACTTCCGGAGCCTCCAACAGCTTCCTCAAACTCTCGTGCCGCGGGTCCCGCTTGTCGTAACCCATCTTCCGCCACTCTGCGATCCGGGACCCGTAATGTATGACGATGTAGAAGTAGGAATCGAACAGCAAGATGACGTCCGGGGCGACCGACCCGACGTCCAAGAGAACGGGCACAGGCGGCCCGTCAAACGAGTACTGGAACAGCGTCGGTTGGACCATGATAAGGGACCCCACCACCCCTTCCCGGTTCAACATCAACCGGAAGAACGCCGTTTCGTCCGGGGTGGTGTTGAAAACCTCAAGGAACTGAGACCGCCGGAGATGGTACATGAATTGGGGGTAGAGGGAGAAGTTTGGGGAGAGACGGAAGGAGGACGGGTCTTCCGGGACGTATTCGCCGAATTTCGAGGCGAAGCGGATCAATGTCTTGTCCAACCACCGGATGACGTCGTCCCCGTACTCGCTCTCTAATTTGTGGATCGCCAGCCTGGCGACCGCCGCCGCCGCCGCTTCTTGATCGAACTCGGCGGCAACGGATTCGGAGCGGACCCCGTTGGCCCACCTTCTCGCCGCTGTCGTCACCCTTTTCCGGACGACCCCGACGGCATTGCCGGCGCGTCGGTAGCGCGTTATGAACTGAATGAAGAATACGGAGTTGTCGCGGGGCCTCTGTTCGCCGCTGCTCCCGACTTCAAAGTAGAATGCGATGCAGGTTTTGTTGGTGAGAGTGCTCGATTTCCACGCATGAGTCCCACCGTGGCCGACTTCTTTGTGGCTCGCTGATCCGTTTTCGTTCTTGCGTAACGACACGCACGGGCCCAAAGCCCCGCAAATTTTCACGTTCTTCGTGGTCACTATTTCTATCGTCGCGTCGAAACACATGTCGAGATTCCCGAGCTCGTCGCGCCAGGTAAATAGGTGACGGACACATTTCTTGAACTGGTCGGAGTCGAACGATTCTCCGAGCATCATGAACCCTCCGGAAGTTTCCACAGGAACCTTAAGTTCTGCTGCCCCTACTTGATCCAAAGAACAAGCGAACAGATCAAGAACAATGGATGAATCGGATAGTCTCTCCGAGATTTTCTTGTAAAACCCAATGGACTTCCCGTAGTAAACTGCCCGTCCGCGTTCAATGTCTTTGTGAGTTCTCATCGCGTTTCTCAAATCCGAATCCACCACCTTGCCCGGCCCGACCGTAGCTGGCCCGGAAGTGAAAACCGTGACACGGGAACCCGTGTTGATTGAATATCCTTCAAGAAGTCCTACGGCAAGGGATATTGCAACTCCCGTGGCTCTAATGGGACGGTGATGTGGCGTGACATGTGGCGAAGGTTGGATGTCTTCGATTGCAGCAGATATGTTGAATTCCCCCTCAGAGAGACATGTCAAGAATCCAGCTTTCTGAACGGCTTGGTGCTTCACGGTATGAAGCCCTAGTTGCTGTTTGATCTGTATGATAAAGGAAACAGCAAAGAATAGTCATAATGTAGAAGAAAGACTATCAATTCTCTACAAATAGTCAACAAAATTTCAGACGTGATGATTCTGTTCTATGAATTTATAGCGGAAGCAAACAAAAAACAATAGTGTCATACGATAATGCTGGAACATACTTATGTCTTAGAGCTCGTTTGGCAGCTTAAAATGTCTGTTTGTCTGCAAGATTATCCACCAAACAAAAAATTTAGGCTCATTTTGTAGCTTGACTTGACTGGACTACTACCTATTGGTTGAGAATGAAACTGGTAGTGAGTGAGTAAACTTTCTTTTTTTGTTGAAATGGCTCAAGTTACAGTAAATATAGCACAGATCCTTTAATTATTTAGTTAGTAGTAGTAGAAATTTCCTATCAGCAGCATTATTCTATTTTAGTAAATACTCCATATTCCTAAAAGGATTTCTAAGGAGAATTTATGTTTTCTAGCATGGTTAGGGTAGGACCCTTTTTATAAGGTTTTGTGTGTTGATATTTCGGCATTTCGCATACCCTTCTTGTAAGGAAGGGTCTTAATGTCCTCCTCTTCCTTCTAGTTTCACTTCATGTCCTTGGGCAAGGTCCCAGACCAATGCCCTTAAGTCCTTAACAATGGTTTATCCTATTCATCAATACCAGCCAAATCAAACATAATTTTTGCAAATTTAGACCCTCAAACACTTCAGTTTTTCAGCCAACGTTTCCCCTTGCCGCACACTCTTTTAACCCCCCATTTATCAAATGAAGATTACACAGAGGGTCTCTGGAATTGTGTTTGAGAACAACATTAGCTTCAACTTCAACTAAATATAGTTTTGAATTTTTAACAATTTGTGTTAGCTTATGAATTATGGCTTCGGCTGCGCGAATTGAGCTATACAAGTGCTTTTCAACAAAGCTAAGATAAAGGCTCCATTTGGTACACGGAATTCAAGTCATGGAATTGGAATTGGAGACTTCAATTCCAATTATGCTGTTTGGTAACACAAAAATATGTGGATTCGGAATTGGTAGTGCAAAAAATGAGTAGAAAATGGAGAATTCAATTATATAGAATTCCAATTTCAATTCAATTCCAATTCTGCCAATTCCGTGTACCAAACGACCCTAGGTTATTTTTGCTTCTAACTTAACATTTCTACTTTTCCAAGAAGCCACCATACCTCCAAACACCCTCATATAAGCAAATTTGCAATCAATTAACTTCATTTCTTCATAACACCAAAAATCAGAGTTTTGGAGCCACACATTTTACCAGGCAAACAATAAGTGATTCATATAGTAAAACTCAATGGTAAAAGTGAGATACAAAGCTCAATGTAGAGTCTACCTGCTCAGATGAGAGCTCGCGCTCGCCATGGAAAACGACAACTCTGAAGCACTCTGCAAAGCTGAGATCATAAACCCTAACCATGGAGTCAAAAACCACCAATCCCACCAAGGCATATTCCGGCAACTGCGCGACCAGATGCAGCAGCTCATTCTTCACTGCCCTGAGCTCTTCTCCCGGCGTACAGGCATCCACTACAAACACAAACGCCGGCCCGGTAGAATCCGGCCCGGAAACTGCGGGCAGGAAGCTGGAAAATGTAGGAAGTGATGGAAATGATCCGCGGGTTGATTTGGGAGATGGGGATGAGGATCCATTTCCGAATCCGGACACCAGATTTGAAGACGAACGGGTTTTATGAGTCAACAGCCCCTTCTTCCCCAGCTGATACTCCACCGTGCTGTACGTCGGGAAAAGCTCCGCCGGGATATTGTTCTCGCTGATGGCGAGGTAGGATTTGGGGAACGGGTTCTTCTGGCTGCAAAACGGGCAGGACCAAGTGCGGGTCGGGTAATCGACGCGGGCATAGGGATTCAAAGCGGCGCCGCAACCGGAGCAGCAGAGAGGGTCGTAAGGGAGAACCGGGAGCTCGTTGAAAGACATCAATGGCGTCGCCATGATCGCTAAGGGGACTACCAGAGCGGAAGCTTCAGATTTGGAAAAGGGCCAGGAGTTCCACGACCAACGGAGGCCCTCGATCGCCTCCAGCTCCACGAAATCCATTGATGACCCAGTAGGAAAAATCAGCAGAATTCGAGAGATAGCTGGGGCGATCCCTCAAATTCTTCAGTGATATGGATCCCAGAAGCTATGGCTTAACCCCATTGTCTATTGCGATTGTGGCAATCTCATAGCTGAGATTCTTGGAGTATGTTTAGCCTGCCCTAAATTAATAAACATTTTTTTTAAATGTTTGAAACTCATCCATTTTTTAGGAGAACCATTTTTTTTTGGATTTTGAATAAAAAAATACTTAATCCATCCAATACTAAATTTTCCATTTTGAACAATGTAGAAAATCTCATCTTTTTAAAATTACATTATTACAAATTGATATATGATAAAAAAATATAAATTACATTGTTTCAAACTAAATCAAAAACTTTACAAAGTAAGACGTGATAAGAATATTTTATCTTATCAAATAATTGATGAAAAACATGCAAGCAAATATAAATTACCGAGAGGTTGTAATAGTAACTGAGAAATTTATTGTTAGACGGAGATAATATAAGATAGAGATGTGAGTGATATGCAACTTCAGCATATCTTAGTGTATCTAACCCAAGCATTTCTAGCTTTTTACATTGCTCAGATTATAAAAAATTTATTTTATCCTTATATAAGCCTCAACATCTTTAATATGGAGAATGAGTGAGCACTTGATGTGATGTTTTATATCGTACGGATTTTGAAATCCTAATTCGGTATAATTCGAAATGGTTTGATATCAATATTGGTATAAATCGTAATAAATGTATACGCATCTAATAATATACACTATAAAACTTAACAAAATCTTTTACTTTTGAAAATCCAAAGTATTTTTAAATAAAGAAGCATAAAACTCTGAAAATGAGTATGTGATGTAAAAAATACTTATGAAACTTAATTTACATTTTACAAATTAAAGACACTGAATTAACAGAATAATATTTCAAATACCTATTAATATTTTTAAGTCGTCTACAAAAAATTACAACTTGAATAAAAATATAAATTACACATAGTAAAACTTGAACCATATTTTGAAAATAAACCTACTACTTAAATTAAGAAATTAAAATGATTAGTTTATTAATATTAGGGTAATTATCTAAATAAGACTAAAAATAATAACTTTCTTAGTATAGGACCATATGTTTTGATTTCTCAATATAAGACCATTGGTCATTATCTATTAGTTACCATTCAACTAAATGTCCAACATAAGATGCCCAAAAACAAATTTCGAAAAGACCAAAACTTTTACTTTAATAATTATTGTTTGGATCAAATTAAACTCATAATCAAGAATAGGTTGTTACTTGTTACAGACTTAAACACTTCATAAATTTCTACGGACTTAATTTTTTTTCTTAATTTAAATTTTATTGTAAAAAAAGATTGATAACCCATGTTTCCTAAATCAAAAGCATATATTATCATTTTATTGCATCTCTTTCATGCAAACAAACATGAAAACAAAACCATACAGAAACAATATTTTTAAATTAGATATTTATTTAATTTCAACGGAAAATGATTTTTTTTGGAATTGGACATGACGGGAGATGTATATACGACTCGTGGTGCGATCAAAGCACCGATACCCTTTGGAGGAGGAATCATAGCCAAGAAATATACAAGGTTTGGATCGGGGTTGGAATTAATTAGTGATTTCATGGCGGAGACACGGATAGGACAAACATCCAAAGATGCGAAACATGGAGTAGTCTGGAGGTTTGTGGAAGAGAGACTCATATGGTGATTTGTGATTCAGAGACCGTTTGGGCATGTGATTGATCAGAAAATTCGTCGTGGCTAAGGCTTCAACCCAAAATTTTGCTGGGAGAGACGCAGTGCAAAGGAGTGTGACAAGGGTTTCAACTAAGTGTCGGTGTTTCCTTTCAGCTACCCCATTTTCTTCAGGAGTGTACGGGCAAGATTTTTGGTGTAGAACCCCCAAACTTTGTAAGAACAGACCAAATTTTGTGTTGACATATTCCCGCCCATTATCAGTTCGAAAGATTTTAATTTGTGTATTGAACTTATTTTGAACCATAGATTGAAAACTGAGAAAAACATGAAATGCATCAGACTTATGTTTAAGAGGGTACAACCAACAAAATTTGGTAAAATCATCAATAAAATTAATATAAACGTGAGAACCTCCAAAGGAGGGTACAGAAGTAGGTCCCCATACATCAGAGTGAACAAGTTCAAAAGGGGGAGACGCTTTAGTTTGCGACAAGGAAAGGATAGTTTATGGGACTTAGCCACAGAACAAGAATTATAATGATCAAGTTCCTGAAATTTAAAACCTAGCTGAGATAACAAGGACTTAGTGACTTGAACAGAGGGATGACCAAGACGGCAGTGCCATTGATAGGGAGTGACTTTGACTGAGTTGACCACTGGTGACGAACTGGAAGCAGGGGGAATATAAGCCACGCTCACAAGGGCCCTTGAAAAGAACTTGGTTGGTGGTGTTGTCCCGAATCGTAAAATCCTTGGAAGTGAAAAGCAGAGAACAGTTATTATCTTTGGTAAATTGATGAACAAATGGTAGGTGAGAATTAATATGAGAGGAATGAAGAAGGTTGGTTAAGGTAAAAGTATGGTTTGAAGTGGTTAGTATACTTGAGCCTGTATGGTCAATAGAATAAGTGTTACCTCCCGCAGTTGTAATAGAGTTGGTGCCATGGTACGGTGAAGAAGTATGTAGCCGAGAAAAGTCAGACGTCACATGGGTGTTTGTGCCGGTGTCCAGATGCCAGTTCGGATTGGTTTCAGCAGATTGATTGGTGTAGTATGCCTGTGGAGGGCCGGAATAAGATTCATCGTAGCGGTGCCAACAATTCCAGACCGCATGGACGGTCTTCCCACACAATTGACACATGATGCCGGCTCCACACCCACCACCGCGACCTCTCGGATCATCACGGTCGGAAGGCAGCCGGCCTCCTCTGCCGCTGTAGCTGCTGCCGCGGGAGGGCCCACCACGGCCACGATACGGCCCACGGCCACGACCCCGGCCAGTACCCCGTCCTGGATTGGTGAATAATGCATGATGAAGACGATCTGTTGACGAGGGAGAGCCAGAGTCACCAAGGTGTAGTTTCTTCTCAACGGTGAGATTTAATTCCTCAGATAACAACCACGCAAATACTTGATTAAATGTGACGGTTGCAATATTAGTACGAATGTTCTGTTTGAGCGAGGCGTAGTCCGTAAGGAGGCCACGAAGCACACACAAAATAATATCTTGTTCAGAGATGTCCTCATGAGCCAATTTCAGGGATGAGACAATAGTGAGAACAGTGTCCAGGTATGTTTGCCTTGAATCAGTGCCCTTTTGAATATATGTAGGCGCTCCTTTAATTGAAAAATATGAGTACGGGAAAGAGAATTATACCGTTGTTCGAGGTGATTCCAGATTGCAGCAGAGGTTGGAAGAGCATGAATATGAGTCTGAACGGTTGGAGAAACAATAGCAAGAAGACAGGTCCGGATTCGAGCATCAATAAGGACCCATTAGTCATAAGCAGGATTGGGTCTCATAACCGGCGGTTCATCCTTGCCAGGGGCGGCGGCTTTCTCGTCCAGAACAAGGGTTGGAGGAGGCACTTCTAAACCATCAACATAACCGAGGAGACAATGAGCGATGAGATTTGCGCGAACCGTAGCAGACCAAGAAGGATAATTTGTATCATCAAGTTTGACCGGAGTTAGAGATTGAAGATTCCGGACAAATAATTTCAAACCCGTAGGTAGACGATCCATGGGATCAGAAGATTGAGCAGCCATGGCCGATTGGTAGAGGTCGGCGGCGTGGGGAAGACGAGAAAGAATAGGCTGGGCCATTTTTTTTCCTTTGTGTTACCGAGAAGGAAGAGACGGATCAATAGGCTCTGATACCATATTGAATTATGATTTCAACTCAAGGAAATAATTGTGTACAAGATAGTTCATATAGATGGAGAATCCTATATCAATTAGGATTCTCTAAGTTTGGTAGCTAACTATAATAACAATCCTTCCATAACTACACCTATTACCATAGTTGTCTAACAAACCACTATCACATTGATCAAATGCTTATAGGATTTATACCCAAAATCTTTGAATAATGAAACACACATTTGTTTGGATCCTACAGATCATATAATTAATTATTTTCACCACACTCTAGCTTAGAAAAAGAAATGCTATGAATTAACATTTTGCATTGTTCTTTATTAATAAACTAAGAATGCTTGAAAACACAATAAATGTTTCTTAGCTTGAGACTCAACATCAATGGCGGTCATCGATGTGCGTGGGATACTTACCACCAATAATTCAGAGAGCTTCAGTAACATGTTAAAGGGTTACGTTGTCAGATGTTACTTGTAATAACTATTATTGTCACAATGTTGTATAATAAACTCATTGATCAACTTGAGACACGCTGCAAAACATGTTTTGCGTGGTAGTGGAAAAATCATTTATTTTCTCTTAAGATCACCAAGATTTTTCAGAAGAATGAGAAAGATAACTTTTTCCCACAACAATTAGTTTACGGGAATTTACTCATCATTAGGTCCACTGAAGAAATATCTTGATCTGGTCGTCGACAGCGGAATTGATTCTCGGGAGAGATGCAGTGGCAGAGGAGAGGGGGGGCATGCCTGGGCAAGTGCCCCCGACGAAACTCCGGCAAAATAGGATTAGGGTACCCAATCGGCGACGGGAGGACGGATTTGCCCCCCCCCCCCCCCCCCCCCCGATCTGTCGCAGGTCCAGCCACTTGAACTATCGAAGAACTCTATGCCAAAGCCGACCGAAGAAGATGAATTTATGCCGAAGAAATAAAACAAAATAAAATGACGTCGTTTTGTGAAAAGGGTTTAAAAAAATCCCTTTGACCCAGCCCAAGACTCACTGCGGCACGGCCCAGTAGCCCACAAATCACCATGTGCCCAAAAAATAAAAAATACGGAGGATTTAAAAAAATACCAATCGCCCAAATCACCATTTGCTCTAATCACCACTGCGGCATTATTATTATTATTATCGGTGACGTTCTAGTGACACTGGAAAACGGTGCCACTAGCGGTGCCATTGGGTTTTTGGGCACCTCCGATGCTCCGTTCGTAAAATTGATTGTTTCTACCCCCCCTAACTCACCCCCTAAACCCCGCACCCTACCCCCACCCCAACCTCCCCGTAAGCCCCCCACAAAATGTGTGGCTATTACACATTTTGTGGGGGGCTTACGGCGGGGTTGGGGTGGGGGTAGGGTGGGGGGTTTAGGCAGGACCGGCTCAAGCCAGGGGCAAGGTGGCCACCTGGACAGGGCCCAATTTTGGAGGGGGCCCCACTTTTTTCTTCTTTTGTATATATTCTATATATATTATATATATTTATAAAAAAAACAGGTTAAGACTATGAATTATAAATTTATAAGACTATGAATTTGACATTTTATTATTCTTATTACTATAATATTTTTTATTGTTAAAAAAATTTAATTGATAGACTTTATTTTATTATGACACAATGGCCCATTTTCTCCGTGACGTCCAGGGTCCCTGATTTCTCGGAGACGGCCCTGGGTTTAGGGGGTGGGTTAGGGGGGGTAGGAACTGTCAATTTTACGAACGGAGCACCGAAGATGCCCCAAAAACTTAGTGGCACCGGAGTGGCACCGTTCTCCGGTGTCATTAGAATCGGACCATATTATTATTATTATTATTATTATTATTATTATTATTATTATATATGCATATGGTGTGACATTATTAATAATATTTATAATTGCGTGTCCTTAAGAAAATTTTGTTGGTAAATTTTATTACTATTATTATTATCATATGATAATGTTATGTGCATATATTATATAAGTAGATTATTTCAGGAAAATATTATACATGGAAAATATAATATTTATACATATTATTATATATGGACATGTGATGGGGAATTAAGCAATTAAAAATAGTATGATTTTTATTGTTATTATTATTTATATTATAATTATTAATTTATTATTATTAATGATATAAATTTTAAATTGAAAATTATTAATCAATTTGATATATCGGCTTATAGAATTGGCATTGATATTACCTGTTGGGACAGCTTCAGTGAAAATGAGTTTTTCTGCGATGAATATTGTCAAGGTTGATTTACGCAATCGTTTGGGAGACGAGTTTTTATCAGATTGTTTGTTGTGCTACTTTTAGAAAGAAATTTTCAAGAGCATTGTTGATGAAGTTATTATGCAGCGCTTTCAAAAGTTGGCATCTTGAAAAAAAACTCTATGGTCTCAAACAACTCTCACTCCTTTACACAAATAGAAGATATGTTTAGTTGCACTTTGCCAACTAAGGTAATTACTATTCTGAATTTTGTTTATTTATTAAAAGAATTTTTGCCTCCCATGAAGTCTTTCATGGCTCCATCAGTGGAGAGATGGACAGAGTTGGTAGGCATCAAAATTGATTTTTCGTATTTCTATGTGTTGGTTTTAAAATCATTTGTTGTTTTAGATTATCTTTTTATTTTTGTTGACTTTTATTGAGCAACTCTCATTTATGTTATGAATGTAACTTTTTTTCAAACTTTGTTATGTTAAAAAAGTTATCTCGTGTATGAGTTTTTATTTTAATTATTTCACTAATTAAATCAATTCTAAAAAAATAAGACGTGAAGTAGAATCGACTAGAGTGAAAATTAAGTTAAAGCAAAAAACAAATAAAAGATGATAAAGCGAGCTAGTTAGAAAATAATACCAAAGAAAGTCGACTTCTTTTGAGGAATTTAAAAAATAACAAGAGAGATTAGGTAAGAGAGAAGCACGCTAGACTTTCCATGACAATGCTAATTAAACTCAAAAAGTAATCTCAAAGGAAGTCGTCGACTTCTTTTGAGGAAAAAATGCGTCTAAAGTTTTTTCAATAGAAATTACTTTCTGCATTTTTTTTTTTGTCGAGATCGGATCCAAAAATCTTCGCTATCTCGGAATCTTTTCAACTTTTGTCTTTCCATTTGTATTGACGGTTGGAATACACAAATATATGAAAAGGGAAATCAAATTTGAAAAATCTAAGGATGATACTCCTTAAAATGTTATGGGCAGGGATTTAAAATTTTGAAACATGCCCAAGTGAATTCGAAACTTCAATTCGGGCGAGAGCGAAAATTTTGAAACCAAAAAAAGGGAGGGAAACCGCACATTTTCACCACACGTGTACGCTTCCATCTGTGCACCTCCACCCACACTATCCCCTCCTTCTCCCTTCTTCATTCTCCGTCTCTCTGCACCCGAATTTCTGGAAATTTCTCGGCGATAAACTCTGAAATTCGCCTCGGAGGGAAGAAGATGATCAAGGAGTTCGGGTGCGAAGACCTGGTGGCATTTCCCCTCGACGTTGTCGCGAAGACGGGAGGACAAATCAGAACCAGCGCGGTGGTGATTCAGGTTCTGCAGAACCTCCGCCGCACCGGAGCTCACGAACTCTGCGGCTACTTCCTCTCCGTCACCAAATTCATCAGCATAGGTGCGTATGCTTCATCCTTGCGAGCTTATTCTAAACAGGAATTTGTATTTAATGGAGGTGAATCGACTAATTTCTGTGCTTTAATGGTGGTAATAGGAACCCTAAAGTTGCTTCCGTTGTCGAAAATCGTTATCATTCCGGTGAAGTACAATTTCCGGAGCTTTCTACCGACGCCGGGCGAAAAACTGGTCGGAATCATCAGGCGGGTGTTCCCGACGGCGGTGCTCTTGAGCTGCGGACCGATGAACGTCATTTACCTTCACCAGTCGAAGATGCCGGGGTACAAGTATGTGGGAGGAGATGCAGAGAAACCGGCGATGTTCCAAAGGGACGATCTGACGAGGATTGAGAAAGACGCGGCGGTGCGTTTCAAGGTGCTGGACGCGCGGTGGTCGGACGTCGGCGGCGGGCTGTTGAAAAGGGAGTTCAAAATCCTCGCGAGCATTGAAGGCGACGCGGGGGACTCTCTTGGACCGGTGGCGGTGGTTGAGTCCGACGGGTCGGCGGCTGACTTCCCGTGCTTTTGTCCGCCGCCATAGATCAGCGCTTTGTCCCTCGGGTACTGCAAATCCTGCAATTATTCCACTCGCTAAAATGTGCTGTACATTCGACCAAACACGGCCTTGCAACTCCGTGATAATTAACTCCGTAATTAATTAAGCTTATATAAGCTCATTAGTGAGAATTTTGTAAATGGATAAGAACAACTTTAATGATATTGCTTAGTTATGTGGTCACAACTAACTCCAAATCAGCAGTCATTTAGCAACATATCAGTACTGATTGCACTCGTTATCTCATTCGTTTTACATTTGTAATGTTTCATTTTCAATGCAATGATAACATTTTCATTTCTACTTAATGCTTTTTCTGTCCTAAAAAGATTGCAATATTACGTTAAATAAAGTAAAATTTTAAATTTTTAAATTCATTTTATTTAAATTTGGTATAAAAATAAAAAATAAAATTGTATATTTAAAAATTACGTCAAAAGTTCTAAAAAATAAGGGATGACAAGAATATTTTATTTTATTAAATAATCAATATATACACAAAAATAAACAAAAAACTTGTAATTATTTTATTAAATAATCAATAAAAACTTATTTTTTTTGTTTTATTTACTTTTTTTACATAATGTTGCTTCATATGACATATTTTTAGAAAAAAGAAATAAAACTCAGTTTTTGTACAAATTTTGTGCTTTTACTTTTTTATAGCAAAAAAAACTAGTTTAACTAATATCACGCAAACGAATCACAGCAAAAAGGAACGATGCGTGACTCTTCCATGCCACTTGGCCTACCAACTGGGACCACGACACCCCCACCGTGAGGTGTTACGGAAAGCCTTAGGAATTACGGACTGTTTAACTAAGATACAATTGTTTCTTGAAAAAAGTTTCATAAAATGTCTTTTACCAGCTCTAGTCAATCGGAGATCGGGGTGTTAGATATGATTTGATTTTAATAAGAATCAGCAATAAATCGAAAAAAGAAGTCCTGCGGAACAAATCTTTAGGAAAGTCTAGAAGGGATGGAAACCATCAATTTTTTTTAACAGAAAACCATATACGATTATTGTCATACTATGACAACAAATGTTGATGTCAAAAGAGGGGGGGGTCGAATGAATTTTGTACTATGTTTTTTTTCATATAGTGCTCTTGTACAATATTATCAAGCTAGGTTGGTTGTAATTTGAAGTTCCCTATACATTGTTGCAAAAATTTTGTCATAGAAGTTTGTGACGGACAATATCTATTGTAATTTTCGTCGCTAGTTTTGTGACGACTTTAAGATTTTTGTTGCAACATATATAGTTTGCGGCCAAAAAAGATGCGATAAATTTTTTTCCATGGCAACAACCATCGCAAAGGACTAATGAGACAGAAAATGACATAGTTGTGATGGAATCGCAAAAAATGTAACTTTTTTTTTGTAGGATACAAAGTACTACGTATCATTTATAGTAATGGATATACATATTTATTGCTGTTATTATCCACTTATCTGCGATCACAAAGTCAAACTGGTATATATGTTACCTTATTTCGTTGAGGCTTATATATAATTCACTGTGGCTCTTTAGTCCTCCTTTGCTCTAAGTGCGTGAGACAAGATAAGAATATGCCTTCCCTGGGGTTCACAGCCTCACGTCAAGCACCAATAAAATAGAAATTAAAATTTGCACTAAATATGACTAAAATATAATGTTTTTCTCAATATAGGATTTAAACTTTTATATTTCCTAAATAGGACTTAATAATGATTTAATGGGAAGAATAATGTCCATTAATGATGGACATTTACTTGAATAATGACTACATGATAATGACCAAAAGTCCTACATTGGGAAATAAAAACATATGGTCCTATATTGGGAAAGTCATTATGTTTTAGTCCTATTTAGGTAAATTTCTCAAATAAAAAGGGAGGTCTAACGTATGAACTTTTGAACAAAGAATGTTTAGAAAAATAAAATTGATATTGCCAAAAACGAATTGAAATTGGAGAATTCAATTTCATTCAAATTAATTTCATAAAATTTTAAATCTAAATTCAATTTTAATTTTGTCAACTCTGTGCACAAAACGGATTTTACAGAGATTCAAGCTCTTTCAATGACGACCACCAAGTGAATATTGTCCATGTACACATCTTACACTACCTAATATTTAAAAAAAACTAACTTATTTTAATTAAAACTAATCACAATATCAAACTCCAAATTTTATAAAGAAATCACCTAAAAAGGAATAAAGTGTAGAAATAGTAACAAAATTGGAGTTTTGTGTTTATATTTACAAAAGAAGAGTTCACACTGTTGTAAAGTGACACTCTACATGCACATTTTATTATACTTTTTGGTAATGTACATGATCATGATTTGTAATGTAAATACATTTTAACTCATATTTGGAAAAATATAAAACTCTTATTTTGGTATATTTTCAATGTTTTACTCATATTTTAGTTTTTCTTACCAACTTTATACTCTATCTGTATCAATTTAAATTGTCTATTTCGGGTTAAAATGTTTGATTGAAATAATTCTTAAATCATTTTATATGAATAATAATGTAAAACTTAAAAATAAAAATTACATATTTAAAGATTACAGCAAAAGATCTACAAAACTAGTGATGACATGACTTATTTTATCAAATAATTAATGAAAATATGAATATATATATATATATATATATATATATATATATATATATATATATATATAAAGTTTAACAAAGTAACTACAGTAATAAACATGTAATTTAATTAATTTGAGATGGAGGGAGTATTTTCAATTATGACTTATCAAAAAGTTTCAAATTTTATTTGCTATACATAAGGAAAAGAAGGTAAATCGACATGTATCATTCGTCACTCATGTTCTCACATAGCTTATACACTTTTGCGCCAAAGAAGTCATAACATACTAATTTTGTTACCGGGTATCAAATTTTTAATCGCCTCCTGAGATTCCCTAAGCGTCAGTTGTTGAAGTTAATACAAGACACATGAGATTCATTGATATAAAAACTTTTCATCTCGCTCCCGCCTCTCAGAGAGATTTGGACTCTCTAAGCAATTAAGCAAAGTGTTGGAGGTGGATGGTGTAATTAAATTTTAAACTTCAATTGGTATATATTCCCTTTGTCTTCAAAAGAAGAATGACACTATTGGAATTACGTGTAAAATTCTATATCTTTTAAAATTATCTTATTTATAAATTGGTATTGATTAAAAACTAAATCTCACATGTCTAAAAATATAAGGAAAATGGCTAAACTAGGATTAAAACATGAAAAAAATATATATTAAAATAGAAGCTCTATATTTTTTAATTCCAAAATAAGAGTTATAATGTCATTAGTGTGAATATATAGTACCAAATATTATAATGAGAGGTTATTCTACAATGCCATAATGTCACAGTATAAATTCTTATTTTGAGATAAAAAAGTGGAACAACTATTTTAAGAATAAATGCTACCCAAGTATGATTTACACCTATTTGGTTATTTTGGAGTGATTTCTTAAAACCATATTAAAATTATAACAAAATTAAGAAGTGCGGAAAATACATTATTTTATAAAATAAAAAGTATATAATCATATCACAATTTAAAATTTACACATGAAATATTAATTTTCTCACATTTTTCATGAACGGACAAATTAATCTTTTCTTTTTATACTCTCTCCGTCTCAGAAAGATTGCCACAGTTACTGTTTTGGTCTCTCGATAAATTTTGTTTGTTTATTTGTTTTGGTTGACTATTTGATAAAATAAAATATTCTTGTCGCATCTTATTTTGTAGAACTTTTCATATACTTTTGAATGATGTAATTTTTATTTTTTTATTACTGTACTAATTTGAAAATATAATAATTTTAAAAGAGATGTATTTTGTACGTCGTTCAATTTATAACATAAATGTGTACTAAAGTTGATAAAATAAAGCATGACTATAACCAAATAGAATCACTGAATCCGTGAATAAAAAAGTAGGGATTCGATTGAGAGTAAAAGAGAAGTCTTTAACAGTAGAAGTACATTTGGGTTGTCCACCAAATTGGGGAACGGGGTAGGGGGAGGTACAACTCCATTTTCTATCTTGCCGCTGTGCGGAGGCAAACGGCGACGATCGGAGCCCCTGAAGGGAACGCAGCAAAGGCCGCCGACACCGCCGCAGGAGACCGGCGATTTCTGAAAAAACACGGAGAGACGACGACTCCTGCGATTAGGTTTTGTTTCACGCGATGTGTTTTTTTTCTTTCGCCATTTCGTGTTTGATTTTATGCGCTCTTTTTTATACTCCGTATATCATATCCCATATAAATGTTTGAGGGCTGTTCTCTTGATGATGTGTTGTTACCTACCTTCAATTAAACCTATAATAATGAAAACAACTTTCTGTAATACTTAATGTCTAGTTACTTACAGAGTAATTGGTTTAACAATGTTCTTCCAAACATACACTCAGAGCATAATTACGTAGGACTGTAGGAGTCCTAAATTATGCTTTGGTTTGTTTGGAGACCAATGCATGGCTCTGATTGTTTTTAAATTTGAACTGTTTTCTCACTTTTAGATGCTTCTTCATTTGTAAATTTATATGTACATAGATTGCTTTGTTAGCGGAGGGAGAAGTGGAGGCATAAGATATGCATAAAGAACGTAATCATGGCTCCCAAGCAGGGCCTGGAGGACGTTTACGTCGCCGCAGAGGCTCAAATGAGGTAAGGGCAATTTTCGTGGGTTTTTTTTACATTTTTTTAAAATTGAAAATTTTCATGTAGCCTATGATGAGAAATTGGGAGGTCGTGAATGATATTCTCACATTCGTTATCAAGTGTCAACTTATAGTCCACTCTATCAGCTCTCGTTATAGTTACATTTAGATAGTTTTCAGTTTTAGTTGGGCTAGATGCAATGACATTTAACTCTTATTTTGATAATTTACTACTGAAATTAAAGGTTCCTGGCGAGGCTGTTAGAGAAAATGGTGATCATTTACTTGTCAATGATCAAAACAAGTACAAATCAATGCTGATCCGGGGATATTCATCTGTGTGGATGATTGGTGGATTTGCCTTTATAATTTACATGGGTCACCTGTATATTTGTGCCGTAATTGTTGTTCTCCAAATCTTCATGACGAAAGAGTTGTTCAATCTACTTAGAAGAGATCATGAAAACCAGCAGCTCCCTGGGTTCAGATTATTGAATTGGTGAGTAAAACCAGATATCTATTTACTAGCTATTGGCATCCTGAGGTCATTGAGGAAGGGCATATGTTACTCTTTGGGGCATCACACTTTTTTCTTTTTCCTGGATATAGAGATTAGAGATTGCATATTTCTTGAATTTGTGTGATCTACCTGCTTGTGTCATATATTTATTACTCTGTATTATGGAATTGATAATTTCATATCGGTGATTAATCTGATTATGTAACTAATTATCACCCCCTGTCTAATGTCATTCTTATGCTTGCTACTTTACTTATTTCCTTGTACTTGTAGGCACTTTTTCTTTACAGCAATGGTTTATATTTATGGCCGCATCCTCAGCCAAAGTCTTGTCAATACTGTCACGACAGACAAGTTCCTATATAAACTTGTTGGCAGATTTATCAAGTACCATATGGTCACTTGCTATTTCTTGTATATAGCAGGTAAGTCTAGTATTTTTTGCCGTATTCTTCACGCATTGTGTTCTATGAATTTCAAACCTCATAATTTTAATTTGCCTAAGATATCTAAGGCATCTAAGAATGGTTTTTATATGAATGGCCCTTTTTCTCTTAAAAGTGTTCATACGGAAATTGTGAAGTAATTTTATGTTTTTTCAAAAGTTAAGATTTATTTTTTCAAAATTTTCAATGTTTAGTAGTTTCACATTTACCTTTAACACTTGATGGTATTAGTTTCAATCAGATCTTGATGGTAGTATATTACCCAAAAAAACAAGCACTAATATGCCTTACACATGCTATAAATGAGAGGAATTTCTGTATTTCACAAAGCTCTTTTTACTAAAATGGCCTTCTTTATTTTAAACATTTATCTGATCTTGCAAAAAAGTCAAAATCAACCTGTGAATCCTATTCAACTGAATACCTAGAAATTTACTATATAGACAAAGTTTGGTGAAACTTGAACTTAAAATTTTGAGACCAACAGCAGCAATAAATCAATATAATCCCAATATCACGGCATTCTTGTGGTCAAGATGTACACAACCTTACCCCCCATAAAATAGAGATGGTTTCCATTAGGCCCTTGATGCATTGTTGCATCTACTGTCTGAAACTTCATAGAAAGCAAGAAGATTTTTATTTAACCCATTATTTACCCAAAGTTAAAACATTGTGAAATTTGGTTCTTTTAGCTCCATTGGGAATGGACACAAATTAAGTTTACTCAATGCAACTGCATCAATGAGATTTGGTATATTGGGTTGATACTGAAGTTTTCTACTCCTTCCAATTGGAAACAGGTTTCATGTGGTTCATTCTTACTCTGAAAAAGAAGATGTACAAATATCAGTTTGGCCAGTATGCATGGACCCATATGATTATAATATTGATGGTCACACAGTCCGCATTCACAGTGGCAAACATATTTGAAGGAATCTTCTGGTAAGTGGTAACGCTACCAACAGTTGATTCCCCTTCTGGTTAAATGCGTCTGAAGTCTGAACATTTTTTAGGATTTCTTATGTACTATGTATATTACATGTTGCAATAAAATGAATTTTGGAGCCCATGCATATATCCAATACAATTTGTCAACATGCCCAATGCAAGTGGCTAGAACCAAATACAAGTGTACAATGTCCCAAACAAACAGGGATACTCTTAGAAATGAAAACTAAGATATACTTCACCAAACTTGCTTTTGTTAAGGTTTGAGCTCTTGACCATTTGGTCAAGGTTCTTTCGCCTCAACACACTTGCCAACTCGGCAAAGGTTAACCTTCATTTACGTTTATGATCTGTTTCTTCTGCATCTTAACCCTGAAAGTTTTGAACTAATGTCTTTGCCTTCCTATCATAGGTTTTGAACAAACGTTTTGAGCTGAATTGATATTCTTGACATTAGTTTAGGGAGCTTATGTTTAAACTTTAAAGTTTTGCTATCAATAGCTGCAGACTGTATGTCAGAAAATGTTGGGAATAGGTATAGATCTGAAACTTGTTTCTTTATGATGCAGGTTCCTTCTACCAGCGTCGCTGATTGTTGTCAATGATATTGCTGCATACTTGTTTGGGTTTTTCTTTGGAAGAACTCCTTTGATCAAGTTGTCCCCTAAAAAAACATGGGAGGGTTTCATTGGAGCATCTGTCACTACTATTATCTCTGCTTTTCTGGTATGCAGTTTTTTCCCATCTCATAACTATAGCATCCATCTTTTCCTTCACACTACTATAGGACATGTTTTTTTCATCACTTTCATTGTCACATTTTTCATTCATCCCAGACCACTGTTTACTTTTTAAAAATCAAATCAGATGCTGTAAATGGAAAACGACATGATAAAAATGGCATACATCTATGTGATGAGATGTGGTCTATTTGTGCTAATGCTTATGTAATGGCTTTAATCATGCTCACTTCACTTTCCTTTGCAGCTTGCAAATTTGTTTGGTCGTTTTCAATGGCTCACCTGCCCAAGAACGGTAACCTCCTGAGAATATAAGTCTCTGACTTATTTAGATGAATGAGTCACACATTTACATTTTTTTGTTTCTCGAATTGAACTCCACATCTGCATTCAATATCTTAACACAGGATTTATCAATGGACTGGCTTAATTGTGATCCCGGCCCTTTGTTCAAACCGGAATATTACACTCTTCCAGAGTGGATTCCTCAATGGGTACACATTCATGATGTTTGAATACATATATTGTAGCTACTTGTAAATACTAAATAGAAAACAAAAATAACATTACACACCCTCAAATCCTTGATAAATGTCTATTTTTTGTAGTTTCCTTCCAGAGAGATTGTGGCAATGCCAGTACAATGGCATGCATTATGTCTTGGCCTATTTGCATCAATCATCGCTCCATTTGGGGGCTTCTTTGCAAGTGGCTTTAAAAGGGCCTTCAAAATCAAGGTTCACTGTCATGCTCATTATTGTTTCATATCTTGCTATTGCCCATATTATCCTATTCAACTTCATCTTTTGAAAATGGCTGCTTTCTTGTTTTTCATTCATTCATTCATTTATTCTGTTTTTGGCTTGTTTTTTTACATTTTATTTGTAGGACTTTGGCGATAGTATTCCTGGGCATGGAGGCATCACGGATAGGATGGATTGCCAGGTGAATAGAATCATGTTAATTTTGGCATATATCTCGAGGAATAGTGTTTTTATAGATTAATAGAGAGGACTTATCAAGATAAAGACCTAGAAATCCGTAGCACTTCCCTCTACTCAAACGGTTATAAATGCTTGATGCTCAAATGTGGTTTGTACTTTTGAATGTAAGTAATTATAGCTTGTGTCAGTCAATTGGGCATAACATCTCTTTTCTTTTATTGGATTCTTTTCAATTTGACGTATCATCAAGTTGCTTCAAGTATCCCTTTTTGCCGCTGTTGGACCTTTGAATTGACTGTATTATACATGTCTCTATGCAGATGGTAATGGCTGTTTTTGCCTACATATATCATCAGTCTTTTGTGGTCCCTCAGAACTTATCGGTGGAGATGATATTGAATCAGGTAAATGGGAAATGTTTCCGCAACTAGCAAGTCTTTTATGAGAACGCCTCAGCACCTGAATCTTGATACGTTCTATTTTTGGTCAAAATTAACCATGTCAACCAAAATTTTCTACTTTTATTGCATGATACTTGTCACGGAGAAAGTTATGTGGGAAATGATTAACTTTTGACTTTCTCTTCATTTTGCTGCACGGTTAGATATTGATGAACCTGCCATTCGAGGATCAACTGACCCTGTTCACAAAGCTGGGGCAGATCATCCAGGAGAAGCGATTTGCGGAATCTTGAGTTGGCGGAGTAACTGCTCCTAGAAGGTGATGAAGATGATAGTAGTGGGTAATGGTTTCATAGGGTGAATTAGTTCTTCATGCAAATATGCAATATGCTTTTGTATATTTTTAGTAGGGACTAGGGAGTAGTATTCTGCAAATTAAATGTTTCTTCTTCCAAACCAAACCATTTGTATTTTGTTTGGTGTGCTTTCAATCCTCTGCTACTGGTCAGTGTTGGAATCTATCTTAGGTTTGAATGCTAAATTCTTTGCTCTGTTTTACTAGCATAAGACTACATTTAGGCCATGTTCACTTCACCTGATCAGATTGGTTCTCATTTGATTGGAATAAGTTGTGGTCTGATATGGTCCGAATGTAGTTATATTCAAAGTTATTTTTGTTCTAATTTGATCAGATTTGGTCTGATCTGATTTGATTCTAATAACAGTAAGTAATAAGTAAAAAAAATAAGATCAGGAGAACATGACATTAGACATTAGAATTGAGCCCATCTATTCTGTCTCCAACGTTTAGACTTAAATTTTTTTAGAACAATGTTAGCCTTTGGAAAAAAACTTTCCTATCATGTTCTTTTTTTATTTGTTTCATTTACTAATTACAAAGTCATTTGTTAAATGAATCACCTTTTGTCTAGTCAAGTTTTTTTGTGTAGGTTATAATTATAAGAGTGCAAAGGGAAAAAGCCACACAGAAACGCATTGAGGGGTTGTTACATTTTTTTTTATTTTAAAGCTTTAGTAATAAAAGATTGCACTTCACTGTTCTCAAAAGTTTGGAAAATTAGAAATTGTTTGCCGTTGTTCTACTCAGAAAACTATGAAACACTTTTTAATGTGTTTCAGGAGATAAAAGATTTTAAAGCTTTAGTAATAAAAGATTGCACTT